TTTTGGCTCTTGCCGTGAGCTTTTGGCTCTTGCCGTGAGGTTTTGGCTCTTGCCGTGAGCTTTTGGCTTTCGCCGTGACAGTTGTGGGCTTCCGTAAACACGGCATTATATGAACGCGGCATTATATGAACACGGCGCGCATTATACGAGGTGGCTCGCGGGCTCTTTTTTTCAGCGGATTTTTATACAAAATGGGCTTCCTGTGGTGTTCCCTTTCAACAAGATGGGGGACAAGAAGTATGTCGAATGTTCTGAAAAAATTGGGTCTTGGCCACGCGATCAGCACTTTTGAACATGAGAAAAAATAACCCCCGACATTGTTTGCAAACTTTCAACTAAAAATCTGGAAACTCTTGGGATTATTAACCCCTCTGACATGATGAATTTACGACAACAATGTTCAACTTATGGAGGTCAGAAACCACCAGCAGTCCAAACCGGAATGGGTAGCTCCTATTCGTATGATATACCAAAGGAGATGCTGGAATCGTTTATAGAAGAAGGGTTTTCCATAGCGGAGATTGCATTGATGTTTTCAGTATCAGAGAGCACTATATACCACAGAATGAGAAGCTACAACTTGAGCACACTAAACGTTTCTGACATCTCTGACGATGAACTCGATGTACATATGGTAAACATAGCCAATGGATTCCCCCGCTGTGGTGAAACAATAGTAAAAGGTATTCTCTTGCAAAGAGGGATTAAGGTACAAAGAATGAGGCTAAGGGATAGCATGCATAGAGTTGACGAAGAAGGTGTGCAAGGGAGAAAGAAGGGCCCATTAAGAAGGAGAGTGTATAATGTGCAAGGTCCAAACCATCTTTGGCATGTTGATACCAATCACAAGCTAATAAGATGGAATTTTATTGTCATTGGTGCAATTGATGGATATAGTCGTCTTCCAGTATTACTAAAATGTGAAAAAACAACCAAGCAGAAACTTTGTTGAAACACTTGGTTGGGGCTGTACAAAATTATGGCCTTCCAAGTAGGGTAAGAACAGATAAAGGGTTAGAAAATGTTGGAATTGGTGATTACATGATTTCCCAGAGAGGCACAAACAGAGGTAGTATAATCACTGGCAAAAGCACTCATAATGAGAGGATCGAATGACTATGGGTAGATGTCTTTGAAGGGGTGTCACGTTTTTTTCATAAGCTGTTTTATTTTCTTGAAGATAATGAGCTTCTTGACCTTGCAGATGATTTACATATAGCAGCATTGCATCATGTTTTCAAACCCGAAATCAACAGAAGAATGGAAGTATGGAGATCAGCATGATCTAATTACAGAATGCGTACCTCAAAGTCAAGTCCTCTTAGGATGTGGATTAGTGGTCAAATGCAAAACCCACTTGGAATAGAAGTCACAGAGGAGGATATTTTCTATTACGGTGTTGAAGGAGACTGCAGAGACTTTTCAGCCGAAGAGGATGAACGACTTATTTTGTGTCCACCATCATTTGCACTTTTACCTGCTTGTCAGGAAATGCTCAATTCAGCTGTACTTAAAGTAGAGTGTTCTTCAAACTATGGAATCGATGAGTACCTACATGCACTAGATATCATAAAACAGTTTCATGCTGTAGCATAAAATACATTTAAAAATTCTCAAAAAGGCTCGGGCATGAATCTTAAAATGCAAGCCACTTCAGGATATCGGTGCACAAGTGTGCAATCCGGGACTTTACATGATGATGATTAATGAATGATTAATGAAAAGGGACTTAACCACGAAGGGAGTGTGCTTCTTCGGTATTTCTTTCAGAGAAATGTTTTCATGAGCGAACAATCACTTTGTTCAAGTATTACATATGCCTGGGCATGAGTACACGCTCTCAGAGTGTATAGTTTAAAATATAATGGTATTCAAAGAGTTTATGGAAAGATAAATAACACCCCCCTAAAAACGCATTTCCTTTTCACTAAATATATGCATATAACTGGTGGTAAAATGAAATTTGGGCAGGGTTCAACATGAGTCATTGCTTCTCTCCCTCTTTCCTGATTTAAGGCTTTGCTGCTGCTGCCAATTTGATCAATACATGTAATGGTTGTCCAAGTGTCACATTAAATAGCCTTATTGCTACTTAGTGTGGGCCTTCTGTGGTGTACTATTGGATGGACCATTGGTATCTGCTAGAGTGTGTGGGGTGTCCCAAAGCATTGTCAGAGCTACTCACAAGGCATTAGCTGCTGCGCCCTTTCGCCCTTTGGAAGCTTGGTGTTAGGTTATTTGCTCCCAGTACCACCCTCCCTATGTGTAAATGTTAAATAATTTATATTCCACTGATTTGATTAGTGTGACAATAGCTAGGTAGTGGACCGTGAGTGGTTACCAACTTGCCAGGGACAGTGCCTCCTACTGGGGGAGACTGAAGGTATCTATGCCCAACCTCGTCTACCAATGAGTTGAAATGTAAAAATATCTAAAAATTAACACAATCTTCTTTATTCATATTATCGATGCAAAATAATTTTATGTATTGCATAACAATGATGACATGATGTCTACAAAACATTTCTTATCATTAGTTTTTCTGTTGAAAAATGCAGAACAAATTTTCACAATCTATCATGAACTGAACATTTTGTTAATTTCTGCTCATATGTGCCTGCAATGTTTTTATACTATATATGTTGGTTCTAATAAACTGAAAAACTTCAACATTAAGCATAACTTAACTGTAATGGTAATTAAAACATTCAAAATAAGAGGCCAAGTTGCTTCTAATTGCTATGAAACCTGGTATTACATCTGTATATTAATCAGATCCAAAATTGTCATATTTGGAATGAAAATGACAAATTACCCATCCCAATGTACAATGAGAACCTTAAGCCTATGATCGTTAAAACTATCACAACACTGCCAAATGAGAAGGGAGTTTAAATATACATGTACTTGTAAAAACAAATTTTAACCACAACAGATATCACTTTAAGGACGGTGCCTACTATTGTCCACGCGCACATGTACTGCGCATCTACATTCAAGGAATTTCAAAATTTATTACTTGAATTGCACGAAACAAAACGTTTATTTTCGATAAAAGTTAAAGTAGAAAAGGATCTTAAGTAACCCAGGCTTGTTAAAGAGATAATTTGCTAAGGTTTAAGTATTATTGACAAAGAATCATAAGTTTTTTTGGGCAAGTTTTGAAAAAATGGCAGACTCATAGTTCTAAAAAACCAAATCCTTTCAATAATAAAGCTTTTTACCGTTTCTTTAGATTTAATCCTATAAAACTTGAATAAAAACAAACAAGAAATACATATGAAATTGAAAATTTACCATTTCTTAATATATAGGTGTGTAATTATAGTATTGAAAATCTTTTTTTGGTCGCTAAACACTTTCATCATGAAATTCTTTTACTTTGGAGTTTTCAATCTAAAAATTCATCTTATTACGTACCAAATATTTCAGAAATTTCTTTCTGCTGTTAAGTAAAAAGTCAATAATAACTTCACTTCAAACCCAAGAGTCTTCCTGGAACTATAAAGCTTATAAATATCGAGTTTTTCTCTGTGTTTTTTTGCTTGCATGGCAGGAAGTAGCATGTTTAGCTTGACGTGCAAATGCGCCAAAAACGGAGTTTGTCACGCCGTTTTGTATGCTGTGTAATGCTTGTCACGCATTTGGCATAAGGCTTATCCCTAATAATGTTCTTTAAAAGTTCGTAACTCTTCAAAACGCCTGGATACCCCTATTTTTTCTTCGTTTAAATAATAGAGTAAATGCTAAATTAGCCTTGTGAAATGAAATCGATAAAAAATAATTGGTTTTGAAAAGAATATGGACACAATCTTTATGTACCTACTGATCRAAAATAGGGAGCACGAAGCTAAAAAATTATATATATTATAGCCAACTATTTAAATCATGGTAGAATTGGGTATATTTTAGTAAAGAAACAAAGTGTCAGTCACTAAGTACGATTTAAATTAGAAATTTCTCAAAATCTTTTGAACAAAAATTATTTTCCTGGTGTTAGTAAAATCATGACGTCATCACTTTTAAACAATTTTTAAGCCTTATTATTTCTTTCAAATGCATGGTGACCCCTACTTTTCTAACCAGAGTTTGACAACCCTTTGATAGGTTAAAATAATACACATAGTCATTTAAAAAAATAATTGATTCTCAATTAGTAGTCCTTAACACAACTTAATGATGCTTTCTTGGAGTACATGTACTAGTCCACTTATTTATTGCCAAAATATGGGCAAAAGAAGGCATAATCATAAAAGTTAAACAGTGTTTTGGCATTTGGTAGGGGATTCTCAAGGGTAGGCTTTGGGAGAACGAGCCAGTTTATGTAAGTATTGGCTGTGGGGACGAAAGACTGTGTGACCTCCACAAACTTGATGGATGGGCGTAGAGAAAATCCTAACACTGGTTCTCTATCAGCACCAGTTGCAAACCTTAGAATATGATGCAAGGTCACCTCACCCCTCCTACCACCTAAAAGACAAAAATTGCATTTTTAATGAGAAAAATTAAGAATTTCAAATAACACCAGCTGTTGTAAGATCACATGTAGTTCAAGTTATACTTCCATTTTATTGGAGTTCAATAGGAGACATGCACTCACAGCAGAGGTCATGTGACCCTTCACGTATATCCCCTAAATCAAGCACCATTTAGAAAATTATATAAGTTGATTATACAGCTTCTCATTAAGCCCATATAGGTAACTATTTTCTCAATTGGACAGTTTTGATATGAGGTTAATTTGGTAGCCATGTAATTAATAGGTAATAGGGTCAAGAAATAATTAGACTCAAATAAAAAAAACCAGATTCTATTTTTCCCCAGTCATTTCAATGAACAGTTTTATAGCTTGTTTACAGCCTTTTGGATCACATTGAAAGTATCCCTCAATGCTTGAACAAAGTTGGTTGAGTTTGTTTGCATTGAATTTTGATTGATGTTCTTTCAATTGTTTCCAAAGGAGACTTTCAGCTTTGCAGGTTGCATTTCAACATTAAGGATTGCTAGTTTTTTGCTTAACCTTAGATATCCAATTCCTTAAAAATTATTGGTAATTYGTGAATATAGCTGGTGAAATGAGTGCTTGGTACAATGTCGCTTACTTGCTGCTTACCTCAAGTACTTTACAAATGAGGCATATACTGTTTTTTCATTCCTTTTCAGCATTTGTTCCTTCATTAAATTGTGGCTTGAGAAGATTTGTCAGCATCTTAATCGTCAGTGTACTTTGGTCAGTATTATGGAATAGATGGAGGAAAGTAGGAATTTGGCAACCAACCTAAATATACAAGGTTAAGTAATTTCAATTCGATGGTTTCATGCTACCATTTCATTTGTCTTGTGATAAATGGATAAAATGGACATCATGTTATGGAAGTGAAAACAGTTAGTGTTGGATGTCAAAATAATAGAAGAACTGGGGCATCCAGGATCGACTAGAATTAGCTCTCTATGCACTAGAACGATTCCATGGCTGTGTTCGCTGTGAAGAAAAGAGATTCAATCTCTCTCTTATGGCCTCCGAGGCTCGTGGAGTTGTTTGGCTTGGACCACCAGTAGCCCCAGCAGACCTTGCTGTACTGATTATTTTGGCACAAATTTGCCGTAGCCTAATCTCCGAGGGCTTCCACTCCAATCGTTTTTATCTCCTCGTTTTCAAAGTGGGCACAATGTTCACTTCAACTTTCTCCTTTTCAAAATTCTGTACCAAAGTTTGCAATCCCAGCTGTTTGAGAACAGAAAACATGCTTTCTTTTGCGGCCATTTTGTCAGAAACAGAGGCTGCTGGGATATTCCAAAGGTAGCCCATTTTGTATAAAACTCCGCTGAAAGAAAGAGCCCGCGAACCACCTCATATAATGCCGTGTTCATATGATGTCGTGTTTATATAATGCCGTGTTCATATAATGCCGTGTTCATATAATGTCTTGTTCATATAATGTGGTGTACATGTGTGTAGTCATGTGTGTGTATGGATGTGAATGTGTGTGGTGTGAGTATGTCAGTATGTGTGTGCACGTGTGTGTATGTATGTTCGTGTGTAATGTATTTGTGTGAGTGTGTGTATGTGTGTGTGGTGTATGTATGTGTGTAGCTGTAGTCATGTGTGGTAAGTATATGTGTATGTCGGTCGGTCTGTCTCGGACGGTCGATTGGTCGTTCTGTCTATCTCGGTCGGTCGGTTGGTGGTTCGGTCTATGAGTTTGTCTGTCTCGGTCGGTCGGTCGGTTTGTCTCGATTGGTCGGTTTGTTTCAGTCGGTCGGTCAGTCGGTCGGTTTATCTCAATCGATCGATCGGTCGGTTTGTCTCGATCGGTCGATTTGTTTCGGTCGGTCGATTGGTCGGTTTGCCTCGGTCGGTCGGTTTGTTTCGGTCGGTCGGTCTCGATCGGTCGGTCGGTTTGTCTCGGTCGGTCGGTCGATGTCGGTCGGTCGGTTTGTCTCGATCGGTCGGTCGGTCTCGGTCGGTCAGTCGGTCTCGCTCGGTCGCTCGGTCGGTCGGTTGGTATGTCTCGGTCGGTCGGTCGGTTTGTCTCGGTCGGTCTGTCTGTCCGTCTTTTTGTCAGTCTGTCTGTCCGTTTGTCCGTCTGTGTCTTTATGTCTGTCTACATGCATATACATGAATAAATGAATACATGAAAACATGCATACATGTATGTATGTATATGTGTATGTGTGTGTATAGTGCTGTGTGTATGTTCTGTGTGAGATTGAATGTTGTATGTGTGAACGTGTTTATGTATGTTTGTTTATGTGTTTATACGTGTGAATGTGTGTAAGTGTAATGTGTGAGGTGTATAAACATAAGTAAAAAAGTGCAAACTTAAAAAAATTTTTAGCAAAAGACGCAAGCGTCAACAAACAATCCAAACGTGCCAAAAAATGCAAACGTAAGAAAGAATACTTCAGAAA